CCTGTTGAACAGGGGATACCATTTATAAAATGATATCTCCAAACAATGTCTGCATATTTTGCAAAATTTGGGAACTACCAGATCATTTTATAAATATGTGCTCAATTCAGCTGGGTTTTCTTTCCCCAGGAGCCTGAGAGAAACTGGAAACCCAGTCAAAACCACACCTTTTTACTTCTACACACCAGAGTCCTCAGAAGTAGATAGAAGTAGTAGCCCAAAGATACCTGAACCATCCTGAACCATTTGGGCCCCCAGAGTTGCTGACCTAGATCCCCTGTTGAACAGGGGATATCTGTTTATAAAATGATAGCTCCAAGCAGTTTCTGCATATTTTGCAATTTTTGAAACTACCAGATCATTTTATAAATATGCGTTCAATTCAGCTGGGTTTTCTTCCCCCAGGAGCCTGAGAGGAACTGGAAACCTAGTCAAACCACACCTTTTGACTTCTACACCCCAGAGTCCTAAGAAGTAGCAGCCCAAAGATACCTGAACCATTTGGGCCCCCAGGGTTGCTGACCTAGATCCCCTGTTGAACAGGGGATACCATTTATAAAATGATATCTCCAAACAATTTCTGCATATTTTGCAAAATTTGGGAACTACCAGATCATTTTATAAATATGTGTTCAATTCAGCTGGGTTTTCTTTCCCCAGGAGCCTGAGAGAAACTGGACACCCAGTCAAAACCACACCTTTTTACTTCTACACACCAGAGTCCTCAGAAGTAGATAGAAGTAGTAGCCCAAAGAAACCTGAACCATCCTGAACCACTTGGGCCCCCAGGGTTGCTGACCTAGACCCCCCGTTGAACAGGGGATATCTGTTTATAAAATGATAGCTCCAAGCAATTTCTGCATATTTTGCAATTTTTGAAACTACCAGATCATTTTATAAATATGTGTTCAATTCAGCTGGGTTTTCTCCCCCCAGGAGCCTGAGAGGAACTGGAAACCTAGTCAAAACCACACCTTTTGACTTCTACACCCCAGAGTCCTAAGAAGTAGCAGCCCAAAGATACCTGAACCATTTGGGCCCCCAGGGTTGCTGACCTAGATCCCCTGTTGAACAGGGGATACCATTTAGCTTTCCGGCCCAAAGCCCTAAGCTTACGGGTGGCGGACGCCCCGGGGGAGTGCCGTGACGTTCGGACGTTGGGTGCTCCGTCCACTGAGACGGACACGTCTGTTCGTCTGTCCCTCGGTGTGTTCTTAGATCCTGTGCTCCCTAGTGTGATTGTGCTTTCGCCATGGACTTGGAGACGCTTCATGATCCTTATCGCCTTCGTATGTCTGACCTCCTTGGTTCCCTTAGCACTACATCTTCATTGCTGCGAATCCGTGAGATGTTTTGCTGCGCGGGGGTTGTTGAGAACTTTGATCAACACTCGATCACCCTAGACTTGTTGGATTTCACCCCAGGTCATGGATTCTGTACGAGTTCGGCTTCCTCCAAGAGTGTTGTGGTTCACGTGCACGATGTGGGTCACAGATCCATTCATCTCCATCCAGGCATGGAAGTGGTGGTCTGTGGCTTACCATTGTATCCCCCGAAGGACAGTGACTGGCATTTTCAGGACAATGCTATCGTGTGTCCAAGGCCCCATCTCGACAGCAGCAGTGCTTTCAACTATGTACACATGTTCTCTGGCTCCTACTCCGGATGGAGCCAGGCTGCTACGTGGATTGCTAAGGCCAACATTGGACAGACAACGGGGCAGCAACTCTCGATAGACAGTGACGATACAGTGATTCAATTGTGGAGCCTCAAGCATAACACTAGGCCTTTCCGAAGCCCGGTGCTACCTCAGTTTGTGTGGACTCCTTCCGATCATGTTGCGGTCCAATCATGTGTGGGGGATTGTTCTTTCCTCCACCTTTGTGCGCATGAGATGAATGTGCTTGCCACTTTGTCCCCGCCGTGCGTGTCATGGTCGCGTGGGGGCAAAGGACGTGGCCTGAATCATGAGGCTGGCTGGGCCTTTGTTGAAGCAATAGAGGACTGCCTGATCATGCAGCCAAACATCATTACCGCGGAATGCGTGGATGAAATATGGTCCCATTCTCATTTTAACTTTGTGCTTGAAGTGATTCAGAGAATGGGATACATCAAGATTTTCAGCCAAGTGGTCCCACACCACACCATCTCCGACCATGCAAGATCAAGGTGGTTGGCTACTTGGGTCAGGCGTGACCATACGCCTCGCATCTGTGATCTCCAGATCAAGCCGATGATCATTCCAAGGGAAAAGTGGACCAGCCCAGTGTACTCCTTTCCGTTGCCAGCTTGTTGGGAACGTCAGCTTCGTTTGTCTGATTCGGAAGTTGATATCTACAATGAAGTGGATTTCCTCCCCCCCAACAAAAGGGCTAGATTCGGTTCCCATCGAAATGTCAAGGATTTGCAGGTTGTTGAATCAAGGTTCCCTCAGGCTGGGGAACCACTTCCAACCTTGTGTGCATCTTATTCGAGCCAACACCTGTTGGCTCCGAACCATTTGCACGTGAAAGGAATCTTTGCTGTCCTTGAGAACCATAGTCGAGGTGTTTCATTCTTCGATCCGGCTCGGTTTTGCTCCCTTTTTGGAGCGTGCGAAACTGTCATTCTTCCCTCCAAGATCCAAGAAGCCTTCAAGTGTGTTGGGAACGCCATCACAATTCAACATGGCATCATTCCGATCATTATTGGTCTTCAGGCTGCCTTTAAAGAAATTTTGGACGTGCACCAACTCATCAAACAATCATGGAGTGAGAGGCTCACATGTAGGAATGCCATTGTTTTCCAGAAAGGGGACTTCGTGTACCTCGCCAGGATTGAAGACGCCATCCTCTTTTTGTCGCCACAGCCATCTTTGCCTGAGCATAGTGATAACCAAGTGCTTGTCACCTGCCCATGCTTCCGATTTGACCGTGTGCTAATGGTCCCCAAGACCATGTGCTTCGAAGCTTTTGTGAGATGCTGCTTCCAGGGTCCACTCGAGCTGACAGAAGCCATATCGTTATCAGATGGCCAGCAGACCGTTGATCCCAGAACTCGCTTTGATGCCCTCCGATCGATTCGAGTAGAGTGGGTGCTCACCCTGAAGTCCAAATCATTTGGATCTTTGACCTTCGTTTGTAGGGAATACCGTTCAGCCAATCAATTGCCGAAGCCTGAAGTGACCATTTCGCCCACTCTTCCGTTCTCGGCCCAGGTCATCGATGACTCCACCAGTGAGTGTATGCGATTCTCAGAGCCGTTCGACCAGCTTGTGACCTCAGCAGAGTTTGATGCTTTCATCACTGCTTTCGAACATGTGGTGAACCATGATGGGAATGCACTTGAAGAGGTGCTCATTCTGTGCCCGAAACTTCAGGAATTTTTTGCTGCAGTCATTCCACGACAGATGACCAACACCTTCATTCAGATGCTGAGGCTGTCAGCGTCCAAGAAAGGGGGATCTGTGTCTGTGGTGGAAAACACTGCAACCACCCGGCACAATCAGCAACTCCGAGCTCTTCTTGACAACAGTGCAAGACCTGACAAAGTTTATTCGTCCTGTGGGAGTGGGCCACCCGGGGTGGATAACACTGCAACCACCAGCAACCCACGATTTCATGCCTTAACGGCTATGGATCATCGAGCTGGACCCAGTCAGGTCGTCGTACTTGATTGTTCACATCCGCTTAGCAAGATTGGAAGCTCCGCAATCCGTGCTGGTGGTCACCATGGTTTCAGGGGCATTCCTATGACTCTCCAGGCAAATGCTTCTTTTGAGCAACGCGTTGCCTTTGCCATCGAATCACATGGATGGCTGGCCTCCGATGAGCTTCATTAC